ACCTACATAAACACTATCCTCCATACCTCTAACCCTGAACCTACATAAACTATATTCTCCATACCTCTAACCCTGAACCTACATAAACTATATTCTCAATACCTCTAACCCTGAACCTAGATAACGCTATATTCTCCACACCTCTAACCCTGAACCTACATAACACTATTCTCCACACCTGTAACCGTGAACCTAGATAACACTATTCTCCACACCTGTAACCGTGAACCTAGATAACATTATTCTCCACACCTGTAACCCTGAACCTAGATAACACTCTTGTCTCTACACCTCTAACCCTGAACCTAGATAACACTATTCTCCACACCTGTAACCCTGAACCTAGATAACACTCTATTCTCTACACCTTTAACCCTGAACCTAGATAACACTATTCTCCACACCTGTAACCCTGAATCTACATAAAACTATTCTCCACACCTGTAACCCTGAACCTAAGTAACAGTATTCTCCACACTTGTAACCCTGAATCTACATAACACTCTATTCTCCACACCTGTAACCGTGAACCTACATAAAACTATTCTCCACACCTGTAACCCTGAACCTAAATAACAGTATTCTTCACAACTGTAACCCTGAATCTACATAACACTCTATTCTCCACACCTGTAACCGTGAAACTACCTAAAACTATTCTCCACACCTGTAACCCTGAACCTAAATAACAGTATTCTCCACACCTGTAACCCTGAACCTAAATAACAGTATTCTCCACAACTGTAACCCTGAACCTAGATAACATTCTATTCTAAACACCTGTAACCCTGATCCTAGATAACACAGTCCAGAACTACATAAATGTCATATTCAACCTAGGTGACACTAATATGCGAGTCTGGAAGTAGCAACCCTGCCTCCATCGTCACATGGTGGCGAGATGGTTTCATGATTCCAGGAACGACGGACGCTATCTTGGATGCTCCTCATGGCGGCAAGTCTGTACGGAATGTTCTAGAAGTAAACGTATCATCAGAAGATGACAAGACAGTCTATAAATGTCAAGCTGCTCACGAAGTTCTAAAGCAAAACGTGCATAATGCAGTCACTCTTAGGGTGTTTTGTAAGTAGCCGGGTCGTTTTCTGTGTTATAACGTGTTTAGTAAGAGTAGCTGAATTGTTTTCTGTATTATAACAAACGTGTTTAGTAAGTAGCTGAATTGTTTTCTGGGTTATAACTAACGTGTTTAGTAAGTAGCTCAATTGTTTTCTGTATTATAACAAACGTGTTTTGTAAGTAGCTGAATTGTTTTCTGTGTTATAACTGACGTGTTTAGTAAATATCTGAATTGTTTTCTGTGTTATAACTGACGTGTTTTGTAAGTAGCTGAATTGTTTTCTGTGTTATAACTGATGTGTTTTGTAAGTAGCTGAATGGTTTTCTGTGTTATAACTGACGTGTTTTGTAAGTAACTGAATGGTTTTCTGGGTTATAACTAACGTGTTTAGTAAGTAGCTGAATCGTTTTCTGTGTTATAACTAACGTGTTTAGTAAGTAACTGAATCGTTTTCTGTGTTATAAGTAATGAGGTTTATACTAACGTGTTTAGTAAGCAGCTGACAATTTTTTTGTGTTATAAGTAATAAGATTGATACTAGCGTGTTAAGTAAGTGGCTGAAATGTTTTCTTTGTTATAAGTAATGAGATTGTTACTAACGTGTTTAGTAAGCAGCTGAATCGTTTTCTTTGTTTTAGGTTTTGTGATTGATAGCAATGTGTTTAGTAAGCAGCTGAAACGTTTTCTTTATTTTAGGTTTTGTGATTGATAGCAGTGTGTTTAGTAAGCAGCCGAAAAGTTTTCTTTGTTTTAGGTTTTGTGATTGATAGCAGTGTGTTTAGTAAGCAGCCGAAAAGTTTTCTTTGTTT